CTATCATTTATTCAAGTAATTTATTTCTTTATTTATATATTCAGTTATCTCTTTTTTCTTTTTTTAATTGTACTTTAGATGAAGGTTTACAGAGCAAATTGGTTTTTCATTAAACAATTAATGCACATAACCACCACAGTACGACAAACTGACAGACAGGTAGTGGGTCTTTTTATATAAGTGAGGTCATACAACATTTGTCCTTTTGTGATTGGCTTATTTCGCTCAGCATAGTGTCTTCAAGCCCCATCCATATTGTAGCATCTATAAAGGCTTCATTTCTCCTACTGGCTGATTGGTATTCCATTGTATGTATGTACCAACCAAATCTGTTGCCATCGAGTCAATTCCGACTCATAATGACCCTATAGGACAGAGTAGAACTGCTCCATAGGGTTTCCAAGGAGCAGCTGGTGGATTTGAACTGCATACCTTTTGGTTAGCAGCCGATATCTTAACCAGTTCACCACCAGGGTTCCACGTTTTTTTAACCCATTTATCTGTTGATGGGCATTTAGGTTGTTTCCACCTTTTAGCTATTGCAAATAGTGCTGCAATGAACATTGGTGTACAAGTCTCTTTTTGAGTCTCTGCTTTCAAATCTTTTGGGTATACACCTAGGAGTGGAATTGCTGGGTCATATGGTAGTTCTATTTTTAATTTTTTGAGGAACTGCTACGCTGTTTTCCACGATGGCTGTACCATTTTGCATTCCTATCAGCAATGGATAAGGGCTCCAGTTTCCCCACATCTTCGCCAACATTTGTTATTTTATGTTTTTTTTTTTTTTTTAAATCTTAGTCATTCTAGTGGGAGTGAAATGATATCTCATTGTAGTTCTCTAGTGTCTCTTGATATTAAATTTGATAGTCCCATCAACAATACTTAGACTTTTATTTTCAAGAGATATCACTTTCAATTATGTCACATCAAAACCAGATTCAATTTCTTTTTGTTATTTTTTAAAATTGTTTTCACTGGCAAATGAAAGTAAGTGTCACATGTGATCCATTATTGTGATCTGCCAAAAAATCAAACCTAATCAAACCAGTTGCTGTTGAGTAGATTCCGACTCATAGCAACCCCATGTGTGTCAGCCTAGAACTGTGCTCCATAGAGTTTTCAATGGCTGATTTTTTTCAGAAATAGATCCCCAGGCATTTCTTCTGAGGCGCCTCTAGGTGGTCTAACCGCCAACCTTTCAGTTAGCAGCCAAGCTTTAAGCTTTAACTGTTTGCACCACCCAGGGACTCTATACCCATTGCCGTTGAATTGATTACAACTCATATCAACCCTATAGAACAGAGTAGAACTGCCCCATAAAGTTTCCAAGGCCATAAATCTTTACGGAAGCAGACTGCCACATCTTTCTTCTGACAAGAGGCTGGTGGGTTCGAACTGCCAGCTTTTTCGTTAGCAGCTGAATTGATTAACCATGCACCACCAGGGCTCCTTAAGGACTCCATATAGAGGTAATGATTAAGTCTCTTCTGTTTTTCCTCAAATGGGGAAAAAGTTTTTCTCTTCCTTAAGCTTTTGCCAATGGAATTATGAGAAGACAGTTTATTTGGGTGAAGAGAGGAAGAGGTTACAACACAAGTTCTTAATCTGAGTCATTTGTAGATCACTAATCATTGCCTGACAATAATATATAATGGAGCCCTAGTGGTGCAGTGGTTAAGAGCTTGGCTGCTAACCAAAAGGTCAGTAGTTTGAATCCACCAGCTGCTCCTTGGAAACCCTATGAGGCAGTTATGGACATCCATTCCAGGCCCATACTGGTTAATCAGTCATGGTATCTTCATCTATAGCCTGACTTTAATGAAATCTTTGTGCATACATGCAAGAAGTACGCTGCTATTTTCATAGTATTTGTGATGGTTAAGATTGTGTGTCAACTTGGCTAGGCCATGATTCTCCATGTTTTAATGTAATCACTCCCATGATTGAATATACTGTGAGTAGCCAATCAGATGAAAGGGAGTCTCCTTGGGGGTGTGGCCCGCATCCGTATATAAGCAGACTTTCTGGCTTTTTGCTCTCTCTGGATCCTGCGGCTGCTTCCTGTCATCTCATCTCCTGTTCTTGGGACTTGAGCTGTCAGCTTATCTGCCGAACCGGGATTCGTTGATCTGCACAGCCTGTGAGTGGGAGCCCTGCTCTCTGAACTTCCGATCGTGGGCTTGCCAGCTTCTGCAGCTGTGTGACTTGGGAGAGGCCTCTACCCTGACCCACGGACTTGGGACATTCTAGCCTCGACAATCGCATGAGCTGTTTCCTTGATATAATCTCTCTCTATATATTTATACACTTTACTGGTTTTGCTTCTCTAGAGAACCCAGCCTAAGACAGTATTTAAAAAGTATTATGAAAGTAATAATGCCCTGCACATTTTATAAAAAGATTAAACAGTAAAGAAATATAAAAAATGAGTTTTCCATTTCCTCTAAAATATCTGCCCTTTCTCAGTTCCATTCCCAAAAAGAATTAATAGTTTTTCAGTAAGTGTTTTATGATAATACTATGTTTTGTTGTTTACAAGCCAACTTACAGGACACATTAGCACACACCCAAACTGTACAGCATTTACAGTATTTCAAAATGGCTATCATTTACCCATTTAAAGTTTTTTCTAAATAACTTGCTTAACTGCAATCTTTAAAGTAGATTTTTTGGTATTATTATTATTGAAAAAGTAATATATGCCCATGGTATTAAATTTGGACAAGGAAAAGAGCATAAAATGCAAAGAAAGTCACCTTGGTGCTGCAGACCCATGGTCATCCAGACAGTTTCTTGTGTACACCAGAATGATGTTATACATATTAAATCATAAATATCTATCTAAAAATAATGCACTAATTTATATTCTTTTGAAAACGTGGAAGTATAAGACATACATTGCTTTGAACCTAGTTTTATTGTCTTAGAAATTAGAGATCATGTCATATCAGAGCATATATTATCTCTTTGCCTTCCCTGGTAAAGTTTGGCCATCATATGGCTGAACCATAACTGATTGACCAGTATCCTATGGATGAATAATTAAGTTGTTTTCCATTCTTTTGCTATGAAAAAAGAACATACTTGCTGGTCTTTGTATGCATGTAGGAATACATCTGAATGATACATACTTAAAAGTAAAATTGCTGAGTCACAGGAATGGACATTCTAAATCCTTGATATATATAACTAAGCTGCTATCCAATAAAGTTTTCTTAGTTCATGAGATTAAAAAAGTCTAATTTTCAGCATCTATATTGTGGCTACCTTTTCAAGAATCCTTTATCACAGTAACATTAAATAAAATATCCATATTTATGCAACTCAGGTATACTAATTAGGACTATTTTAGTCCTTCCTCACCCCTAAGTGCCATATCACATCAAAAATATACCCACGTATACCAAAAACCAAACCCATTGCCCTTGAGTTGATTCCGACTCATAGCGAGCCTGTAGGACAGAATAGAACTGCCCCACAGAGTTTCCAAGGAGCAGCTGGTGGATTTGAGCTGGCAGCCTTTTGGTTAGCAGCCATAGCACTTAACCACTATGCCACCAGGGTTTCCATGACCCTATATAGTTGAGCTGAATTGCAGTTGACAGTATGTTTTACACACACACACATAAACATTTGGAAACATATTAATTCAATTAAAATATTAAATATGTATTAATTTCTATTAGTGTTTTGGACTCCATGAAAATTTTTTTCCAGGCATAAAAATTTTGGTAGGTTTCTAAAAACTCACAGGCCCTTAGGCACTGCTCTTCTAGTGCTTAAAGGGTAAGTGTCCCTGAAGCTAATCTGAAAAGCAAATTGCCATATCCCTTCTTTCCACATCTTTTTTTCAAACTGTAAATTGTTAAGATCTGTTTATTTATTTTATTTATTTATCATTTTCCTTAATTGGTTTAAGAAAACTTTAGATCTTTCAACTGATAGTTTGCAGGAATAGAAATATTCCTAAATTCCCTAGTCCTAGAAAATAGCCACAATGGTAAGTAGGTCAAGGTCTGAATTGTTTAAGAGACAAGGAGATTCGTTGTTGCGTTTTCAAGGAGTGATCCTTGTGAGGGTAGGGATCTGGGTGCAGGTAGGCGGTAAATCTTGACATGGGCTGCTTCCTTTTTCCTAAAAGCATGTTGTTGTCAGTTGTATAACAAAGAAACGCATTTTTTTTTTTTTTTTGGTAAGGATTTGAAGCTCCAACGAATTTTTCAAAGCCACACTATTTTTCTCATCAGGGAGAGTTTCTTCCGGTACTTCAAAAGAAGATAACGATGCTTGAAAAAACTGCAGCGTTTGAACAGCTTTAAGGAAGCTGCAGGAGTTCTGCTTAGACGTCCTCACTACGGTAGCTTCGCTATTACTTAAGGAAAATATGACCCTCGCTTCTGTTTCAAACATCATAAGCACTGGGTCATTACAGAGTTAAGTGTACCTTAAAAGGTGGGTTGCCTGCGGTTAATGAGAATCCAAGCTGCAAATCTGGCAGCTCGGGCCACGGTTTTCGTAAGGATTTTCCACTTTGTTTTATGGCACTGTCGTTTGCGTCCGTCAGCACCGCCCTCAGGACAAAGGGTGGCGGGCCAGGGGCACCGGCTAAGAGGGGGCTGTTTGTGTGGTCTGCTTATGGGTTACTCGATTTCAACACCAAGCCCGCCTTTCTCCACGTCTCTAGCGAACCTCCAGCCTGAGTTCACACAGACGCCCTGGTGGCTCACGGGAGCCCGCATAGCAGCTTTCTCAAGGCCGGGACTCAGGAATTCGCCCACAGGGACCAACACCAAGTGGACCCACCAACTCTGGCTTCGCTCAGCTTTCTTTCTGCACAGGGAAGGGCGTAGCAGCGACGCTCCGGGCAACGCCTATGCTGCCAGCCAATGAGGAGAGGAGGCCGCGTCGGGGCCTTCGCTGACTGGGCCGAGATGTCTCCGCCCCGCGACGACCGCAAGCCTTCAGGCAGGCTAATAAAGTCTCAGTCCCAGAGCCCCAGTGTGCGTTTGGGTTTGTCGGAGTGTTTAATCTCCCTTTTCTCCTAATTCTTCTTTCTTCCACCCTGACGCCTCAGTTTCCAAATTTTATCTTCCTCGCTCTTTTCCTCTTTCGCAGCTCAACATGCAGAAAGAAGACGTCTCTCTACATGGTTTCCTGCCTAGCTTCCAACATTTCGCCACGCAGGCCATTCATGTCGGCCAGGAACCGGAGCAGTGGAACTCCCAGGCTTTGGTGCCCCCTATTTCAATGTCCACCACGTTCAAGCAGGGGGCACCCGGTCAGCACTCGGTGAGCTGGGTGTTGGGCGGTCCAGGGTGGGTCAGAAAAAGAGAGATGGCTCATAAATTAAAAAGGCACGCAAGTGATTTATAATATGGCTTATACATTAGAAAGGTACCTTGAAAGGATGTTTCCTATACCTGTAATCCTCCTTGCAGTAAAGTTTTGTATTGCATGACCCAGTGATCGCATCTTTTGATAAACCAGACTGAAGGAACAGTTTGTAGAACTTGTCAAATAGATTGGACTTGAAATGCATGTATTTTGACAAATTTGCAGTTGAAAACCGAGGGCCATAATGTTCTAGAATTACCATTAGCAGCAAAAATTATAGGCATATAGTAAAGAGTCAGATAAAAAATCTAAGGGTCTGTAACTCGCCTGTAATTAAGACCGTTCCTGATAGATGTATTCAGTTGTTAATAGTTACTGAGTATTTACTGTGTACTAGATGCATACTTACATGTATTATATCTTCTGTATTACATGTATTATCTCATATAATCCTTACAACAACCCTAGTCCGAACTACACTGTAATTTTTCCAATGAAAAAGCTGAGGTTTAAGGTTGTTAAGTAACTAGCTTAAGGCCACAAGGCTAGTAAGTGATGAAGCTGGGATTCAAACCCTGCTCTAGAACCCCCCACACTTAGCCACTAGGCTACACTGTGCTGTACTCCAATAATTCTAGCAATAATGTAACCCATTGCATCATTTAAGCAATGTGGCTTAGTGATTCAGAGTATTAATTAGGTAGTCAGAGGACCTTGGTTTGAGCTGGGTGACCATGAGCAGTTTACCTAACCTATCAGTTTGATCCTGTGTAAATGGGGATAATGATAGTACCTACAACTTAAATTGTTGAGGTGAATATAAAGTTGCATGGTACATAAGTGCTCAGTGGTAAAAACCAAGAAACCAAACTCATTGCTGTCGAGTCGATTCTGACTCATAGGTAGTGTGGTATTTAACAACCTGATCAGAGGGCAGGGCAGGTATTAGACACTTTTTACAGAAAAGGAACCTGACCCAGAGTCACACATAAATGACTTGTGTCAGGCCTGTGGGAGCCCTTGTAGCGCAGTGGTTAAGAGCTTGGCTGCTAACCAAAATATTAGCAGTTCGAATCCACCAGCCACTCCTTGGAAAATCCATTGGCAGTTCTATTCTGTCCTAAAGGGTCGCTATGAGTCGGAATCCACTCGGCGGCAACCGGTTTGGTTTGGATTTTGGTCAGGACTATGAGAGCGCTCCTTTGTTAATCACACAGCCCCCTCCCTTTTATGGCATACTTAATGGATTTTGAAGTATTTAAAAGTTGCTGAGGGTCACAAGAAATCAGTTAAACTGTGTAAGGTCCTAAACCTTGATGATGCTTCAAAAACCTCTTTAGAGTGTTATGTAAGTACATGAGAATTCTTAGACTTAGCCCTTTGTTTTGTGAGATATAGTTCTAAGGGCATTCCTATAGCTGGTTTAGGATTCTCCTAGCTACTGTATTTTGGAATCAAGGTATGCACACAACCTGTCTTCCAAGCATGCAGTCTTTCTTGGTGTAAGGTTTAAAAGTAAATGCTGCCCAAATTTTGGAACTACATACAAAAGTTAACCATTCAGTCATGATATTCATAATTAAATACTTTCACAAAACCATCAGGGTTAATAAAACTCACAAGACCATGCTTAATACCTTTAAAAAACTCGATAGCACTGAAGGGAATTTGGAGAGCTATGAGTCGGAATAGACTCGATGGTAACAGGTTTGGTTTTTTTTTTGGTCTTGGAGAGTGATTGAATGGGCCTGAGAGTCGACATTTGCCACTGAGCCTTCAAGTATTCTTTTTTTTTCCCTCTACAAAGTTAAATATCTGCCATAAATATTTATAGAAACCTGGGTACCTTTCTGTGACAGTCACCACATGAATGCAAACAATTTTTTCTGTCTGGAGGGTAAAGAGGTGATGGTGGGGTGTGATGAGAATGTCCTAGAGTCCTATAAAATATATCTAGTCAGTTTGACGAGGAGCCCTTGTGGTTACAGTGGTTACAGTGCTGGGCTGCTAACCAAAAGCTCGGTGGTTGGATCCCACCAGCCACACAGGGAAAAAGATGCGGCAGTCTGCTTCCATAAAGATTTATAGACTTGGAAACCCTATGGGGTAGTTCTACTCTGTCCTATAGGGTCACTGTGAGTTGGAATCAACTTGATGACAATGGATTTGGTTTTGGTTTTGGTATTCAGTTTGCCAAAAACAAGGAAACAAAGCAACAAAACATTTTTTAAATTATTATTATTATGATACTTTGGAGCTTCTGAATCAGAAACGGGTTGAGAGCTACTCTGTTTTGTTATGTATTATATGAGGCACATACCACACACACATACACGCATGCACACACACCAGTTGCTGATTCATGGCAACCCCATGTGTTTCAGAGTAGAACTGTACTTCATAGGGTTTTCAATGGCTGTGACTTTTGGAAGCAGATTGCCAGGCCTTTCTTCCAAAGTAACTTCTGAGTGGGTTTGAACTGCCAACCTTTCGGTTAGTAGCCTAATGCTTAACCTTTTGCACCACCTAGGGACTCCTTTATATGAAGCAGGGGGAGAAAAGTATAGGACTTTTAGTTAGTGTTCAAACCCTTGGTTTGAATTCTGGCCCTGACCTCCCCTAGGTTACTATGATGTTTGGCTTCAGTTTCCTCAAAGCAAGTTGTGAGGATTAAATAAGATGACTATATGAGCACAACTACTACAGTACCATCCATGTAAAAGGAACATAATGCCAATTTTAAAAAGTATTATGTGGTGCTACCTTGCTGAGAATTACTCCCTATTTTTTTAGTCACTTCTGTAGAGCCAAAATCTGAACTTTGAGCACATGGAGGATCTATTCGTTTCTTCCTGTTGCATGCTAAACAAAACTTTGTATTACTTATTTCTTAGGAACTGAAATACAGGTTGGAATTAGGTTCTCTGTTAACTCATGTGATACCCCTTTTCCTAATGTCCCCAGATTAATGTGTAAGGGTGAGTCTAACAAAATAACAATGTGGGTAATAAAGACTGTCATTTACCTAGTGGTTACCATTTGCCAGATATCATACAGAGAATTTATTATACATTATCTCATTTTATCAGAACAATTTTACAAAGTATATGGTATTATCATTCCCATTTTGCAAATATTGAGATTGACTCTTGGAAATATTAAGTAACTTACCTGTTGGCACGCAGCTCTTAAGTGGCAGAAGCAGAATTGTTATCCAGTTTAGTTGACTTCAGAGCCTCTCCTCATCACTACACCTATAACCCTGCCATGGCTCTAAGGGCACGACATGCCATGACTAAATAGTAAAATATCATTATGGCAGGCTGAACCCCAGGGTAGTTGTGGAGATGTCTGTGTTGGGACTCTAATATTGAACTTAAGTCTTTTAGGATGAACTCTAGCTTCCTTTCTTCAGGGTTTTGAGTATAGCCGTTCTGGAAATCCCACCAGGAATTGCTTGGAAAAAGCAGTGGCAGCACTGGATGGGGCTAAGTACAGTAAGTAATTTACATTTTCAAAGCTTGTAAAGTCTGGAATCCTTTCTTAAATACATAGAGAAAATCATAGAAGCACAGAATACAGAATTGGAAGACAATAAAGATTGTTGTTGTTAGTTGCCATCAGGTTGATTCCAACTCATGGTGACCCCATATGTGATATAATAGAGCTGCTTCATAGGGTTTTCTTGGCTGTAATCTTAACGGAAGCAGATTGCCAGCCCTTTTCTTCTGTGGTACCTCTGGGTGGGTTCGAACTGCCAACTTCTAGGTTAGCAGTTGAGGGCAAGCTGTTTGCACCACCTAGGGATCTTAAAGTAAAGATTAGCTAGTTCAAAACTCTAATTTCATTTGGTAAAATATTGAATCATTTGTCCAGCATTCCACAGTTGGTATAATATGCATAGTGAAATTATGAAGTAAAAACAAATATGAATAGAGGTAAAGTGGCAGCATTTACCATTTAGAACTCATGTAAATACACTTTTCATTTGTAACTGTCACTATAAATAGATAAACATTAACTCAGTTTTATAACACTACCTATGAGAATATAAACTTTCTTACTCTGGTTCCTTCATTCTAGTAATTTGTCCCTGAGAATAGCACCAAGGTTTATTTTTAAATAGCCCAGTGCCCTTGGTAATGTGCTCTCAGAGATTAGGGATTAACTAATTAAATCTTGGTGTTTCATTTTTTTTTATTAAGAGAGTAGAATGATGTGAAATCATCTTTATCTAATATTTTATTGTATTTTCAGTGAAAGTTTATACAGCAAATTAGCTTCCCATTTAACAACTACTACAAAAATTGTTCAGTGACATTGGTAACATTTTTCACATTGTGTCAACATTCTCATTCATTCCATTCTGGATGTTTTGTTTACAGTAATCTGGTTGTTTCTCTGTCCCCTTACCCTTTCATCTTTGCTTTAGAGTAATTGTTGACCATTTAGTCTCATATAGATGATTTTTTTAAAGGTGCGCAGTATTCAGTGATCATATTCTTTGTTATATGAGCTGATCAGTTATTTAGAAAAAAGGTGACCTCAGGGAGTAGTTTCAGCTCAAGGTTTACAGAATATCTCAGAGCAATAGTCTCAGGGACTCCTCTAGTCTCAACTGGCCCAGTAAGTTTGGACTTTCTAAGAATTTGGGTTCTGTTCCACATTCTTCTCCTCTTCCATCAGGATCCATCTGTTGTGGCCCTGATAAGAATGGTCACTAGTGGTAGCCGGGCACCACTGAATTCTTTTGGTCTCAGGGTAGATGAGGCCGTGGTTCGTGTAGACTGTTAGTCCTGTAGGCTAGTTTCTTCTCTGAGTCTTTGGTTCCTTCTTTCTCTTTTGCTTCAGATGAGAAGAGACTGGTAGTTGTATCTTCTTTATATATTTTTTTGTAAATGATTCTAAATAAGGTCAGAGCAGAGCCCTGGTGGCGCAGTGGTTAAGAATTTGGCTGCTAACCAAAACACTGACAGTTCTAATCCACCATCCGCTCCTTGGAAACCCTATGGGGCAGTTCTACTCTGGCCTATAGGGTCGCTATGAGTCAGAATCAACTCGACAGCAGTGGGTTTGGTTTTTTTTTTTTTTGGGTTAGTGAATGGAAAATAAGAGTCTTATGTGTCCATTATCATTACGTAAACTTATCAGCCACATCTCAGGCCTGATTATGAGTTTTGTTAAAATATTTTCTGAGTTACATATCCATATAATTAATGAATGAATCATATCTTGACTCCATTCCATAAGTTTGAAATTTCTTTAGAATTTGATATTTTTAAACTATAATTTAATTGCCAGTAGGCCTTTTATCTCAGACTTTTATAAAGAATTATTTCCTCAGAGTGTTTCAGAGAAATGTTATAACCAAGGCAGAATTGATATAACACGAAAGTATCTGCCCACATTATATTTTTTATTTTAAAGACATTTCACTTTTGCAGTAAAAAGGGAGATTCTGTAATGGTATTAATCAGGTGACATTTGGAGACTCAGAAGTGATGGCTCTCCTATCAGCAGAAAGAGGGAGATAAATGGAAGCTTTTTAACCAATGTTGTTGGTAGCTTCTGTTGAGTCAGCCCCCAACTCATGGCAAAACATGAGCTGGTGTGATCCAGGGGTTTTCATTAACTGATTATCAGAAACAGATTTCCAGGCCTTTATTCTTAGTCCATGTTAGTCTGGAAGCTCTTCTGGAATCTGTTCAGCGTCATAGCAACATGCAAGCCTGCACTGACAGATGGGTGGTAGCTGTGTACGAGGTGCATCGGCTGGGAATCGAGCTCTGGTCTCCTGTGTGGGAGGGCGAGAGAACTCTACCACTGAACCTCCGATAGGTTGGACTTTTTGGCTTACTCTAACTTGTTTTTTTATTTTAGGTTTGGCCTTTGCTTCAGGTTTAGCAGCCACTGTGACTATCACCCATCTTTTAAAAGCAGGAGACCAGATTATTTGTATGGATGATGTATATGGAGGTAGGTGACTCTTTTTGTTCATATTGTGTCAACTGATATTTTAAAGAAAATAAAGTGAGTCCTGAATTACATTAATAGTGTTACCAGTATCATTGATTGTTATCTTTTGAAAGTGTGATGGGTACCTCTGTGCTGGCTCAGACTTGGTAAAAAAGAAGCATAAATACTTAGGACCCATGTTTGTAATAAGAGATTACTTGACAAGAGTTTCATTTAAAATGCTTCTGGAATGAGGATATAGAACTTGATTAACATTCTGCTCTGAAGGAGATTGTGTTTAGAAGACAGTATTCTAATGTAATTTAAAATTTTTATTTGCAATAGAGATAAACTATAATACAGGCCATTCTTAAACAGCTTAACCTTGCCTCCTTTTCTTCATTTCTTTTTTTTGCGGGGAGTTTCAGGGGACCTTTCGAAAATCTATTGAAAGCCCCTTGAAAAATGTACTTAAGACTATACACACAACATTTAGCATTTAATTTCAGGGATCTCATAGACTGATCCCTTGAAACCTGTCATGACTTTAAATGTAAGAACTTCCATTCTAAAGAGCTTAAATGTGAGTTCCTTAGAGTGGAGATTGGAGAAGAAAACAGGCTGGCACGTACCTTTAAGCAAGATTGATTTTCATGTTCAAAACAACAAAGAATTTTGTAAATATACACATATATTCCTAATGCTCCCAAATAAAAAATGTGGCTTCTGGAATGTTATCATCATTTTATATAGCTCTTATCTGAACAGAATGTTAAATCAGTAAGTTTTTCGAATGAACAGACTCCCTTTTATTAATCGTTTTCCTTCTCTCAGAAATTTGTACAAGCTTTGTATTTTAACTTAGATCCTTTTACTAATTTGCTGAATTGAAATGAAGGAAATTGTTTTGGTTACTTTGAACCAACATAATGCATTATGAAAACATCATGGTAAATATAGGTACAAAATCCTGAAAATTGCTGTTGGTTTTTAATAATTATTTAATTTATTATCAAATCTCACATTAACTATGGTCAGTCTACATAACATCAAAAGTCCAGCATATCTTTGATTATTAAATTTTTTGGTTGAATTATCAATAGCAATTTTCCCTTTAAATGTGCATATGTGAAAATTAAATCCAGAGCAATGTTTATAAAAAAAAATCATTGTAAGTTGAAGATTTGTCTTCTTTCAGTTTAAAAATCTAGTAGTTTGATTTACATGGTCTCATTTTACCTATTAAAACTTTCAGAGCCAAATAACAGAAAAACTGAGAAAGTGCAAAGAATGTGTAATCAATTCTTTTCTATTACCAAAGTATACACAGAATAAAAATTTGTTTTGAACGTTTTATAGACATTGGTTCATTTATTTTAGATTTGAGTACTAGGACAGAATTCTTAACAAAGACGTTGATGTTTCAGGGAGTGTGCCACTTGGTGTTTGAATAGTAGAGATTACAGGTTTTGAGAAATATTTTCTGCTTCGTCTCATTTGATGTGGATATCAGGTGTGTTTTATTTGACTCTTGAACCTTTAGTTTAAAATCCAAGCCTTATATTCTTTACTATGCAAGATAGCCAAACTATTTAACAAAACTAAAATTTTATTTAGTTGTATTTTTATTAAGCATTGAGAATTCCTTATATTTTTCAGATGTTTATACCTATTGGGAACATTTCTTAATGCAATGTTCTCCATTTTATCTGATTCTTTTCTGCCTCAGGTACCAACAGATATTTCAGGCAGGTGGCTACCAAATTTGGATTGAAGGTTTCTTTTGTTGATTGTTCCGAAACCAAATTGCTGGAGGCAGCAATTACACCAGAAACCAAGGTACTCAGTTAATTTTCAGATTTGTCTGTTTTCCCTGTAATGTTTTGTTTTCTCATTCCTGTTTACTACAGGATATAATTTAAATCTGAACAACACATTTTGTTAAAAGCCATTGGAACTAATCAACAAGATTAAGGCAGATCTGACATCTCCCATGCAATGAAGCCTAATTGTTAAGAAGTTGAATTCTGGAGTAGGATTTAAATCCTAATTCTGTATCATACTTGGTGTATTATCTTCGGAGAATTATTTAACCAAAGTCTCAGTTTTTTCATCTGAAGAATGGGTGTTATCTTACTTGCTTTATGGGAAGATGGTTGTGAAAATTAAATGAGATAATGCATACAAAATGCTTAGTACACTACCTGATACATGATAATTGTTAAAACATTTGTTAGCTGAGAGGATGCGTCTCATAACTTCTTTACCCAGCTAGTATTGGTAACCCAAAGTCATCCCAAAGATGGAGTTAGAGAAAAGGAAGCTTGCCAAGCCCCCAAACCCTAAGCACAGTGGCATTTTAAGGGTTCTAAGGAATACTTCAGCAAAATAAGAGTGAGAAGTAGAGAGTGAGGCGCAAGCAATCTTTAACCTCTGTCCTGGGAAGTTTGTATGCCACCGGAAGGTGTTTTGTGTCTCAGTGAATGGCATATGTGATATTCTTTCTTGAGACTTCATTTAAATTCTGAACATGTACAAGAAGGACCAGTGTCTTTTATAAGCCAGCTTTTCCAACTTTTTGCTAATGATTAAAAGGTTTGAACTGTACTCAAGATTTTGTTGCAGTGGATGCTAAAAAACGAAAAATCCTTTTGAGCACAAATAATTACTTTGGATAATAACACAGCGGTGAGCTTTGGGTGATTCAGGTTTGTTTTCAAAGGAACTTGGGGGAAAGACACTTATTAAAACAGCTGGTCTGAGTCTAAGGGAAGAAAGCAAATATCAAGTCTTGACAACAGAACTTTATATTGTAACTCTTAACCGACTTGAATTAATACCCCTGAAATATCTGAGTCCTCATTTGAAGTAGAATTTTAAAGAGTCTGTGTAAAATTTTATTTATTTCTATTATTTATTTATTTATTATCTGTGGGAATAATAAATTCTCACCCAGGAATAATTTTTATAGATTCTTTAAATAAGTCAAGATTCTTGTAGAAGACACATTATCTTAACCACCTTACTTTTTCTACAGTAAAACTCTGGAGTAGGAACAGATTATTAAACCAGATCTCTTGCCCTTTTATATAGCTAATAAGAAAAAAAAATCATTAGTCCTTTTAAAAAGAAAGTTGTAGATAATATAATCCAATACAGTGACACCTTGTTTTAACAAATAGAATTCTCTTCTTTTCTTTATTCTTTTCAATAACTGTTGAGCCCATACTGTGTGCCTGAATTGTGCTAGGTTTGGGGGATGTACAGGTAAATATGATACAGCCCCTTTCTTAAGTGAGCTGTAGCCAGGGTTTCTGTTGTTCATTCTGAATCTTCTGCTCTTCCTCAAGTCCCAGGTACATTGTTTTATAGTGTCTAGTATATCAGAAAGGAGCCCTGGTGGTGCAGTGACTAAGTGCTCAGCTGCTAACCAAAAGGTTGGCTGTTTGAACCCACCAGTGGCTTGGGGTAGTTCTACTCATATATGGTTGCTATGAGTGGGAATTGACTCGATGGCACACAACAGCAACACAATACATCAGAATTATTTAAGTTAGTATCAGGGATATTTTTGTCATCATAGGGATAATTCTGTTTAGTGAAAACTCTAGGATGTATCCTTATACCATCTATGATATTTATCTTTGAGAAGAAAATTCCAGTCCCTGAAACATATCTTTGGAATACATCCTGTTTTTTATGGAAAAGAATTACAATAATTAAATTTAGCACTTTTTTGCTTATACCATATGTATATTATCTCATTTGATCCTTACAATAACTATATAAAATAAATATTATCAACACATTTACAGATGGAGAATTGAAGACAAAAAACCAAACCCAATGCTGTCGAGTCAGTTCTGACTCATAGCGACCCTATAGGACAGAATAGAACTGCCCCATACAGTTTCCAAGGAGCACCTGGTAGATTTGAACTGCTGACCTTTTGGTTAGCAGCCCTAGCTCTTAACCACTATGCCACCAGGGTTTCCATGTGAGGAATAAAGAGGGTAAATTACTTAGCTATGGCCTCTCAGAAATTTGTGGAAGAGGCTAGAATACAGAGTTAAACTTTACATGTTCATAATCTAGACATTTAATTATATAATGTAGCCCCCAAATTGTTAAAATATATGAGATATATGTATGTGAAGTATATTTTTACAAACCGTTATTATGTACTGAATTATTTTTAGCTTGTTTGGGTTGAAACTCCCACAAACCCAATCTTGAAGATAATTGACATTGAAGCCTGTGCACACATTGTCCATAAACACGGAGACATTATTTTGGTCGTGGACAACACTTTTATGTCGGCATATTTCCAAGTAAGTGAAAAGAATTTTTGTTTTGGTATTGTTAGTAGACTACATAGATGCCTGTAATTAGGAAAGGAAGGACTCATTTACATTAAAAGGATTATCAAACTCATGAAATCTAATCATAATTATTGATGAGACAAAGAATTACGTTTGAATCTTTTCTACAATTAGTTTTAACCTGGCTAAGCTTTCTATGAATAAAAGGACAAGGAAAGTTATACTCAATAACATCTCGGTATATGTCACACATACCATTTCTCCATTTCTCTTCCTTCTTTCTAGTTTCTTCTCCCTCAGTGCCCCGTAGGCTACACATAGCCTTCTGCATCTGTACCTTATTTGCTTTATGAATTCCTACAACATTTTACATCACAGCTGTATGTATAGTAAAACCTCCAAAAGCTGAAACCTGTGTAAGGCAGAAACCTGTCAGAGAAGGAAAATTAAAATATTTTCCAGTAAAACAAGCAAGTGATAGAAAAGTGGTAAGACTGCACCCTGTCAAGGACAGAAAGCTCGTGAGACCCAGAAGAACAAGGCAGTCCCGTTGTTCGGTTCTCACAGGTTTCACTGTATATATCTTTTTTACTACCTACCCTTCTACATACACTGCCCCAACCCTCCCATATACCCTGCATTCTGTCCTTTTTTCCTGATTCTTCCTCCTTCCTGTTTTTCTCCTTTCCGAAGATTGTTTTGGAATCTCTCTATAATTGACCTGTTTTCTGTCCTGCATGTTCTACTCCTTTCCTCTGAATAACCTAACTCTCTTTCCTTTGCTTGGTACAGTTTACCTTCTCCCTGCCCTTTTCTTCCTTCCTGTCCTTTGTGGTCATTCTTATTATACTTCCTATAGTTCATCTTTATTTTCAGGCTTCTTGAAGCCCTAGCTCATCTTCTCCAGTTCTTCAATTAGGCAGATGTTGACAAGCTCAATTGTTTACACTTCCCCCCTTCTGTTATGGGTCCTGAAGTTGGCCCAAGCTGACTCCCTGTGACTGGCAGATTCCATGGGCAGTTTGGGTAATCCTGTTCTCACCTTCCTCCATTTTATTCAGAAGGCACTACCTACCATGTTTTTTTTTTAATATATTTTATTGTACTTTAGGTGAAGGCTTACAGAACAAATAGTTTCTCATGAAACACTAGTACACATGTTGTTTTATGGCATTGGTTAACAACCCCACAACATATTAACCCTCTAACTTCTCAACATTTTTTTTTTTTTTTTTGGTGAAAATACACATAGCCAAAGATACACCGTTTCAAAAATTTCTACATG